ATACTGGAGTACATTTAGGTACAAATAACTGTGCAACAGATACCAGAGCACAAGCACTATAAACGCCATTGTATATTTGACTTTTTTTGTTATGAGGGTGTACAGCTCACCCTCGAAATTACTTGAGGCAATTCAAAGGAAACATTGGCTATTAACAGAAATCCCAAGAAATCTGGGGAAGTTCCAAGACCTTTTTTTTATCTTTGCCAGCCATTTTGAAACAAAATCTACCAAAGAAGGGTGAAATCTGGCTCGTTTCTTCTGCCTGTATGGTTCAGAACCTTGCAAGATTATTTCCTTTCCTTCCTCCATTCAAGAATCTAGCTCAATTTTTTTTAAAGTATTTTTAGGGTGTGTTTTTACAAAGAATAAAAAGCACTAAGAAAATGACAAAGCATAGCTAAAAGAGAATGGAAAATTTTATATACAAGGTTTAACTAATAGCTCAAATATCCTCCTACATCTCTATTTTTGAAAGATGCTGGGCAGGGCTCGATTTCATTTCAATATTGTAGATCAAGAAAAACATTTTATTATAGTAAAGAAAGGGGAAGAAAAGAGGGAGACACAAGACTGGCTACATAGGGAAGTGCCTTCCAGTGAGGAAAGAAAATCCTTAAATAAATAAGTTTTAAGGCTCAGAGATTGGAAATAAAATACATAGTCCTATAATTTTAGACTACTGGTGGGGTTCTAGGTCAGTCTTATGTAGATAGAAACATAGTTCCATTTGCTGGTGGCTTAGTAGCTTCTATTGGTTGCTCCACCTATTAATGTAGCAATATCTATTTTAAAAAAACATATTTAAGGAAAAATTGAAACAAATTTTTTCTGTGAGTTTGCTGAATTTAGCTTTTGGAAAATTTTACACAGAATAGTTGGGTCTGTTTAAAGCATAAAACCATAACAGTTTATTGTTTTATTCAAATATCCATGCTTCTAACATGGTTTATTCCCCCCCAATTCTTCTAACACCCACAGACTTTACAGTTTCACATGGAAATGACTGTTGCATCAGGAGTATACCATATTCAAATCCTATGAGTGCTGCTAAAATTGTAAGAGTAACTGCAGCTCATATACGCTCAGTGAGTGGCTCTTTGCAGCCACGATTACCAACTATCCCACCTCCACAGGGCATCACCAAGCCCAGTGCAAAGCACAACTACCCCTGAAACTGCCAAGTTCCATGTAGTCACACAACTCCAGTGAAATAAATAAGTTGTCAGAGTTAAAGATAGGACAACGTTCGCCTAATATGCAAGTGGACTGCAAAAAGAAGAATGTTGAAAGACCTGGCAGGGAGAGAAGACAACCTGGGCTGATTCTGTAAGGAAACAGGCCGGAAACCTAGAGGGAAATTGCATTGTAGAATAAAAGGAATAGAAAAGCTCAGCTCTGTGTTAAAATAAATAAAAATTGCAGACATGTCCACACTCATACCATTTCACTGAAGACTTCCCTTTCTCCTGCCAGAAGCAATGTCCCAGTGGATGTACAGTAAATACATTCCAGAAATATAGTCACTCTACAGTGCAGCCTCACTGTCAGCTACCACTCCCTCATTTTTCCTCTAGTGAGTGTCTGGTTCTAAGCATTAGCCTACCACAAATAAGCAGTATTGTTAACTAATGCAAAGACTATGGTAATAACTCAACTGGAGAAGAGAAGATTCCAGGGAGACCTCATAGCAGCCTTCCAGTATTTAAAAGGGGTTTATAAAAAATAGAGACAGCAACTGTTTACACAGACAGATAGTGACAGGACAACAGGGAATGGTTTTAAACTAAAAAAGGGGAGATTTAGATTAGATATTATGAACAAGTTCTTTACTCATTAGGTGGTGAGGCACTGGAACAGGTTGTTCAGAGAAGTTGTGGCTGCCCCACCCCTGCAAGTGTTCAAGGCCAGGTTGGATGGAACCCTGAGCAATCTGTTCTAGCAAATGGCATCCCTGCTCATGGCAGGGGAATTAGAACTACAGGATATTTAAATTCCCTCCCAACCCAAGCCAATATGATTCTATGAAAATGAGGAAATAACAGCATTCATCAGTGTATAATCATAAATCAGTCTTAATGCATCAGTTCCTTTGGGAAGGCAGGAAAGCTCTAAAGTAAAAGTGATTTGTGTTGGTTGCACACATAATCCTCATAGAGACTGGGAGGTGTATAGCAGGGACCAAGGGACTGCAAGAGAAAAAGGTGTGGTCGGGGTTGAGGTTAAAGGCTAAACTGAATTCCTCTCTCTGCCACGTATTTTCTGCCTGAAAGTGGAGAAGTTGCTTGAATTAATATTTATTATTTTTTAAAACAAGTGAAGTCTGCATGTTAACTTCTGGATGTCTGAACTGCAGTTGCAGGTCCAGTAAAAAATAATCTCATTGGTTCAGAGCTGTAAGTGAGCCTGAAGTTAGAGAAAGCTAAACTTTGAAGGTATGAAGTTCAATCCACTCCTACACATTGTTAAACAAGATTTCCTGCATGTCTCAGTTTTGTCAGAACTACACTGTCTCAAATCAAGCTAATTATTTCTTTTAATCATAAAACCTCCTGGAGGTGATAAGATTTGCTTGTCTCAGGGGCCTTTGTATAGACAAACTACTGCTTTTGAAGCATCCAGGAATAGCAAAACACAAGTCATCTCTAAGGACATATCCTCTTGGTCATCAGACATAGTCCCTAAACACCAAATACAGAATAATGAGACATCAACAAAACACTGAAAAGATGCTTTTTAAGTGAGCACTGTGTCATGCAGTGAGTATGTCCTGCAGTAAGGGGTCCTTGGAGGATGAGGAGGAAAGGAATTATGTTATCATGCACTGGAAAAAAAGAATTGTAATCACATGTATAAAGAAGCTAAAATAATGGAACTGCAGATAAACCTGCTTCTGCTATTTCCTTCTTTTCAAATGTTTGACTTTGGGACTGTCATACTATTCTCTTCAAACTTCATGTCTATATAATTATCAGGGTATTTCCTTTTCTATTTAATTTCCAGTGGTTGATCTAATTGTTTCTTATGATACCTAGTGGGGCACCTAGGGATATCTATTGCCAGCTTAAAGACAGTGACAGTGGGGAAGCCAGCAAATAAGCCACAGGAAGAGAGAATGATGAGTTTTAACCTATTGAGATGAACATATTCATGTATGACTAGTAAGGGAAAGATTATAAAAAACACCCCAAAATCCCCCCTTTTCCTTGGAATTTCCATATTATTTATCAAGCTCACATTTGAGCAAAGCAGTTTATACCAGTCAAACTGGCTGCATCCTCTAAGAACCTCTACCAACAAGATAGAATTGGACACCACTTTCACTGACACCACTTTCATGCTTTGGAGCATCTCTCACCAACAAACTTTTTATCTCCCCCATCTTAAGCAAAGTACATCCTCTTATTAAAGGGCTAGAACTGCTCTGCCTGTCCTCAACCATCTACAGCTAAGCCTAAAAAAATTCTGATGCGATTTCCTCCTCCAAAGACCAACTTCACTTTGAGGCATCACTGCTGGGCAGAGCACCAGAGACCCTTTCGAATAAAAATGCCACTTTAATATCTCAGCTACATTTTTTTCAGACAGGATCTGGGCTCTTCAGAAAGTAAATCCAGTAAAAATATTCCTCCTGTACTACTCAGTATGAGGAAATCCTTGACATTTTCCAGTTCCAGCCTCCCATATCAACGGGGGAATGTCCTGACACAATTAGTGGGAAGTTTAATCTTAGGGAGTCACATGGAGCGTATCATGTGGGCCAAGAGAAAGAGAGAGAAACTAAGGAAGGTGTTGTAAACTATTAATAACACAATTTCATTCGAGTGCAAAACAGCTGATAGTTACTACACCAGATTCTAACAACTTTATCTTAAACTGATCACTATGTTGCAAGTACCACCAGTTTTGCCTTTTTAAGAGACAGAAATTTTATTTTAGTATCCTTCATATTTGATAGATAATGATTCACATGATTTTGCTGTTACCTTTTGACTGGCATGAAATAAACTAACTTATAATGCTCTTTGCTATCCATATCAGATATACCATATAATCTACATTTCAACTTTTAAAGTACCAAGTAAAATACAAACCACATCAGTTTCATTTTCTCTATCTACCAGTTTTACAGAGCAATATTTATTATATCGGTACTTTTAACGGACAACAATTGCCATTTATTTGGCAATTTGTCCTTCATCATCAATTGACTTTAACTTCAGGCTACATTTAAGGATAAATTTGTCACTGCAATACAGCAACTGCTTGAAAGCATATTGTTTTGACAATTGTTTATTTCAGATGAATATATGTGATAATTTAAGGAAGAAGAACACAGTGACTTGGAATCTGATCAGAGTTCTGGGTCCTGCTCTTAAATGCAAAGAAATGTCACATAGTTACAGCAAGTTAGTCATCAGCATTCTGTATGCAGTTGATTTAATCCTGACTAAAACCAAATACACAGGCAAATGGGCAAAAAATATGGAGAACCCTTCTCAGAGTCATGGGCAGGATGCAGAGGATGAAATTAGGTCTGCTGTTAGTCATCTGCACCCCAAAACTTCACTACCCATTATTCAACAGCTCCTTATTCATGGGTGGCGATTACTACATTTCCATGGCATAAACCTCCTCTTCCCAGTCACACCCTGAGCTGTTTTTCTCACCCAGGGAATAAGCCACAAGCAGGTTGCTTTGCTGTTTTTCTGGTTTCAACAGTACCTTATTTTGTAATGCATTATGTAATTATTGCTTCTTTCTGGCTTTTCCCGTAATAATTTTCCAGTTAAAACCAAAAAATTGAAAACATTTTCCCAAACAAGTTTATGATGCATCGAGTGGGAAAAAAAGAGAAAGTATGTAGAAAACAAGTGATTATTTCCTCAAGTGCTAAAGATGCTAACTGGTCTTTTTCCACTGCAAAATATTTTAAAATTAAATTTGCTTTACAAAAATACAAAACTAGCCCCCAGATACATGCATAGACATTTTTGTACCTGCAGTCCTTATGCTATTTTTTTCCATGTGCTTTTGGTGTCCTCTTGTAGGCCTGTACATTGTTTTCTGGCTTGCATCAGCAGATCAAAGCATGTGGTAGTCCACTCAGAACAAAATCCAGGGTGATTTAACTCTTGCTTTACTCTTCTGATTACTCTATCAATGAGTCCTAGAAAAATAGCATCTTAGATTGTTATTTGCATGCAAACTTTTGTGGAGATATTAGGCATACTACATTTTTAAACAAAAGTAAATAAATACAGAAAATTACATACGTGTCTTTCATATAGAGTTGGAGTATCAAGGAGACAAGATTTGAGAGTGCTTGATCCAGCGAATTAATATTTCAAAAGCTGCCGTTTGCCAAAACAGTGTGTGTGTGTTAATTAGGACCTCTCTGTTGTTATTTTTAATCTTGACATACCTGCAGTTAAATGCCAGGTAGATAAAATATTACTGCATGCAGTTGCAATTTCTGTTCCAGTTTTCACAGGTGTTTGGTTTGTCTGATTTTGTGCAAATACATTGTGTTAATAAAAAACATGAAAGACTCCTAGAATAGAGTAAGTGTTCTAAAGAATAATTTCTTTACAAATTTTGTAAGTACTTTAAGGGGAATCCAAAGCCCAGAATGCTCCTGTTTGCTGCAGCAAGAGCTGCCTTTGCAAGGAGGAAAGTAAAACTAAAGGCAACCCAGCAAGCTGAGGCATGTTACTTCTTATGAGCTGGTTATGGTGATCTTGTAAGAGTAGCATTAATAACTGAGAAGTTATTAATTCAGCTGCCTCTGCCTGCTGTGACGCTGAGCAAACCTCCTACTTTGTAACTCCACACTCACATCACAGGAATGTTTCCAGTACTAGCAGAAGATCAGACTACCCATAAAGACAGCAGTGGTCTGCTGGCTTTCCAGCTTGCATAACTCGGCTTTCCAGAGATGGAGGAGACGTTTTTAAGCAGTTTAAATTAAGGGAATCAGTGTTTCTAAGTTAACAAGCACCAAGCCTGGGGAATTCCCTGCTGTTCGGTTTCCATACAGTAACTCTTACTCGCTTCAAGAGCCATTTCACAAAGTACTTAGGCTGAGATTTACCTGAAACTGAGAATTAGAACAAGCACTGCTAGTGTACCTCTTGAGCACACTATGACTATAGTAAACAGGCAGAATGTTTTTTGATTGCAGAATAGTTACCTAAGTGAAGCAACAAAGCCACTATTGTATTTAAAAATCAGTGTCGATGTTCTCCTTGGAGCCATTTTAAGAAAAGATATATTTTTTTTTATAAACATAGCTCTGCCTCAGTCTAATTTTTATATGTTCAAGTGAAAAGGGTATATCATTGTCCGTTTACATACAAATCATATGGACAGTATGCAGGTGGGAATTTTTTTCGATTTACACAGGGGGATTTTTTTTTTTTTTTTGGTTCTGATTTCTATCAAATGACTACTGCAGGCTTAATGTTTCATAAACAAGAAATTCTTTCTCTTCTTCTGTTAAGCAGCACACACATCAATATACACTCACACAGACACAGCTTTCTGTTATAAACTTTTCCAATAAAATTATACATACAAAGAAGTAGATATAATCTTGATTTCTTCAGATCATTTTTGCTAAAAAACTCTAGTTAAGAAGTTTCCAGAAATTCAGTGAAAATACCTAGGACCATATAGCTATAACAAAAATTATTCTGAAATAGACAACATGACAATAGACAACCTCATATTTGTATCATATCAACATTTAAAAATCTTTAAATTTTACTAGGTAAGATTTATTTATTGTGATACAAAGTGTGTTTTTTTTTTCATAAAACATAGTTTGCATAACACAAAGAAGTATTTGGACTTTGTTTACGGAGCTATTCTGTACCAATTTAAGAATTATTTTTGCAAGCAAAAACAACTGGGAAAGTCCTCTGAGAAAGAGGAGTTATCTCTTCCTTAATGCGCATTCTTCAATTTACTGTTGGGAAAAAAACTACTGGTTTGCTAAATTGCTCTCTTTCTCAGATAGTACGTGCATGAATAACACTGGCATGCCATACAAACCCTGTATTTATTCAGGGTATTTTCTGCCAGTAGACAGACAGACCAAAGCAATAGTCAGTCAGCATCACATTCTCCAAGCTTACTCAGAAGATAACCAGGCACCTTTGGAAAAGACAAGACAGTTAACTGACTCAGTGAAAATTATCAGATTTCCAAAAATTGTCTCCCTGATGTAATAGAAATGCCTTTAAAAGAACAAATGAGTCATGTTGCTATAGCAGGACAACGTTTGCGTGCATTGTAGCCATGCAGTATAATCATGGAAAACTTTGTGACAGGGGGATAATCATTCTCATGTAACTCATGCATGCAGGCTTTGCTATTATCTCAGTCCAGTTCCTCACAATCCAAGACTTCTCTTGGCTTTGCTTGCTGTGAGCTACCACACACAGCATGCGACAAGTTCCTTCACTGACACACATCTCATCTCTGGCCAGGATTATTCTACCCAGAAAAAAAGATAGTGAAGCCACAGGATGCTGCATTTCCTTTGGCACTTTCAAATGTTAACCTCTCTATCACTATGCTTAATAAAGAAACATCTGTAGAAAGTGACACCAATCATGTAGAAGACAACATTTTCCTCTTCTCCCATCGAGTATTATGACAGAAAGGAAGAAAATAAGATATTTACACCCTTCTTTTGCAGGAGACATTGCCTCTGAAACACATGCTGCAGGCAGGAGGGTTATGTCTACTTTCCCTTGGAAATACTTGGCCCTTCCTTTCTCTAAGAGTTGGAAAGGCACAGCCCTTATGCATTGTTAGACAGCAAAACCAAGAAATGTGTACCTACATAGAACCAGACCAAAATAGACTCAGACAAACCAGGCAGGATTCAGGGGGGTCTCAGCTCAAGGCTGTGACTGCCCACAATCTCAGCATTCCACGGCTGTGTCAGTCAAATGATTTTGGTTTCTGCTACTGAATATGCTTGGAAAGTCCAATTGCAAAATACATTATGGGATCACGAGAGCCAGAAAGTTATCAGATTTCTTATCACTGATGGGAAATATTAATTACTGTTCACCCAGTACTTACTGATAGTAAGATAATTTTTGTTTATAGGAAGTAATAATTAATAAGCATAGGCTTATTCCTGAGACCATGACTCCAGGGTGCCCTTCCACATGATATGGGTAGAGATAACCCAGTTTACCCTCTGGTCTATCTATGGCTTTTTTACTGGAAGGGTGAACCCTTGTCAGAAGCAAGCACTGATCCAAGGTTTCCTGCTGTCTGAGCAAGGCTAAGTGTCAGATTTCCTTTCAGAGAAATGCATGCTAAAAACTCCACCACCACTGAGCTGGAATCCTGAATGAAAGGGCAAATGGGCCTCTGAACTCTAGAAAAGGGTTTCTTACCAGGAATTTCAGGTTTCCATATACCTCAAGTAATGACTAAAGTAAATTCCAAGCCCAGGAAAAAAGGCAAGATTTAAGAATTACTTCTCTACTTGCTTCTGTCATTCTGCCTTGAACAACCAGACTGGCTTCCAGCCCAGTCCTCCATGTATTGCAAGAAGCTTAACATCCATATGCTCCTTTTTTCATCTGAGACTTCTGTCATTAGCTTCCATGATTTTCAGTGATTTTGACAGTCCAAAAGACTAAGAAATCCCAGGACGTGAATTAGGATTATAAACCATGCACCAAAGTCTCTCTCTTCCTTCTGAAGGAAACAGTGAATTGAATTTCTTTCTTTGGAAATGCATATTCTCTCAAAATCTGCAAGCCAGAGTGTTGCAAGTCAAGAGGTGTCTCATTTGCCTCTTCATAATGTTAAGATGCTGGATGCCAAAAAAAATACTTCTGCATTCGAAGTTCACCAGGCAAGACCATTACAATAAGAACCTGATGAAAACCTGTATTCTTCCATTATTTGCAGCTATCATTTACTCCACAAGATTCCACTGGAATGAGAAACCTCCTTGCATGCACCTCTGATCACAGCCTGAGGAGCATCACATCCTGTTTTCATGACGAATGGGTTCTTCCTCTTTATGTCTTTGAGAAGGACAAAAAGAGTTTCTGAGCCTTGTCAGCTGCCATGCAACACTCTGTTTCCTTCTTCTATATACACATTTACTGGCAATTTCAGATGAGAAATCCAATAACATCGTTAGAGTGTAATCTGATTAGGATGTGATAGACCTATTATGGCAGCAGAAAACACAACATATATGCAGACAGACACCAGCAAATGTTGCATTACTGTCCACGTCTAAAAAGTAGGTGAACTGGGGCAGCACATTTCGTCCTGAAAATGAGTTCTGTTTGTTAAAATGCAGCTAGTCCAGCATGACATTAAACCAGTGGAAGTATTAACTCATCTCTCCTTCTGTGCCCATGTTAATAGTGAGCTGCAGTCAGCATTTCAAATAGTTACTTTCAAAGGAGACGTGACATGCATAAAGAGGAACTATTAATGTTCTACTTTCTTTGCTTATAGCGAAACTTCTTGATTTCACTCAGCTTGCCTAACTTTTATTCCATGCCAGGCTGAGACCTTTCCTTTCAGAAAGGAAAAAAAAATATTCTTCCATTAAGTCTTTAGAAATGTCTCCAGGTGATCAAAACAGACACCAAAATACAAGGTCCAAAAAATTACTTTACACAAACGGTCTTACACTAAACTGACCTGCTGAGTTTGGTCTTGTCAAGAGATGACCTGTTCTGTGTACTGAACAATTTATAGCCTAGATCACCATGCATGAACACTACAGTTTGCTGAACTGTTAAAAACCAACCCCAAATCTGGATGACAATCTGAATAATTTCTGGATAAAAAGACTGGCGTTCTAAAGAGTTTTTGCCATTCAAACTAGTGGTTGTGATAATTCTTTCTTTTTTTATACAAGGTGAGAGATTCACATACATAAATTTTGGAATGGGATGTAACAGTTGAATGGGTTTACTCTGAAAAAGGTGTACTTTAAAGATACTGTTGCATAAGTTGAAGTGTGAGTTAGCAACTTACACAAGGTATATGTTGAAAAGGAGAAAGAAACTTCTGTAGGAGAGGAAAACATCAAACCATATGAGACTGAAAATTCAGTTGCTGAAAACAGAGTTTGATTCTCAGAGCCAGCTGCATTTAGGGAAATATAATATTTTTCACCTTCTGAAGAAACTTATACAAGAAATTCCCTGAAGCAGAAAGAAAGCCCCACACCTCCTCGGAACTAATCAGGGGAGTTAGCTAAGCAAACAAATTTCATGAGTTATCAGACTATTTTGGGTATGTAAGTCTCATGAGCCAAGGTGTAATCACTGGAAAATTCCCACCCTCTCTCCACCTCCCTGTATAACTTAGAATAGATTCCTCATGTGTCTTGTTCCTGTTTTACTTTAGCTCATCTCTCATACCACAGCACTGAAAACAGGACGCAGAGGTGAATGGTTATCTCCCAGGTTAAATTGCTAGACTGTAAAAAACTGACTGGAGTTCCCGTCCTAGTGAACATAAGCTCTCTGCACCTGAATATTTTTGTACTCAGAAAAGGCTCTGCAAAGATAACCTAATTTACACCTACGCTCAAAGACTGGGAGCCACAGAAGAAACTAGACAGAATACTGGTCTAGAATCACGTAGGTGAAGGTCACCCACGGGTTTTGATGAGTCTGTAGAGCTGCCTGCAGACCAGCAGGCAGATCTTTGCATCAGGCTTTTAACTGGTACCCCGGCTGAGCTGCAACACAGTGGAAGGCTGTGACCATTTCCTGCAGGTCAGAATTAGAAAAACAGTGACTTGAATGAGAAGAGTTTTGCAGTTCTGCAAACAGGCCCAGTTGTAAGGAAACAAAGACAGGTGTCAGAAGAGAAGGTATAGGAGAGAGCATAAACCAATAACCACAGACTTGTATGATCAACTAGATAGGAAAACACCTGAAGATGCTGTAGGGTTACTGTGGCTAACTTGAAGGCAGCTGCATCCACAGCAAGTTGAAAAAACTTGTTTGCCTTGGACCTACCAATGGGCTCAAGAGAAGGAGAGTATAGGCCTGAACTTTGGGACTTTGACACATTCACATTTATATTTGAAAATCGGTAATTAAAAAGACACCTTGAAATATTTTGCTTTATAAAAATGTGCCCTAATAACAGAAAATCAATCAAGGAAAAACACCATTCTGACTGAAGTGTTGGATAATAATGCATCAAAAAAAAAATTATCCTATTGTAGACTAAATTCACCCTGACAAATAAAGATGGCAAAGAAAACAATAAGGACTGTAAAGTAGATGCATTATTAGAAATATTTTTTCCAAAGCACACTTGTGATATTAGATCACTACAGCAGATTTCTGAAAAAGATGTCAACTGTGGAAACAGTCCTTACAAAGGGAGAAAAATCCTGGGTTTTGCTGGGATAGAATTAATTTTATTTTAGTGGCTGCTTCAGTTCTGTGTTTTGGACTCAGTAGGAGAATGATGCCAATAGCAGCCTGATGTTTTGGTTGTTTCTGAATAGTGCTACTGTAAGTCAAGACAACATTAAAGACTGATACTCAGCAGTTATGGGCACAACTTGAGGAAGATCTTTTTGCATCATAACCCATCCCACACTTCTGTCCTTGTTCTTGAAGAAGTAATAGCTGTCCAGGAAAAGGATGAACTCCTAAAAATGAATTTGGATTTATTTTGCCTTTTTACAGGGACAGTGCACTTGGCAACTCAGTGTATTTCTTCTTTCTTAGGCCACTTCTGTGTGGCCTAATATTTCTCAAATGACCTTTTTGAATCTAAAACCTAGCAAGGCAGAAAGTAACAGCATCCTGAGTTGGTTGTACCTCTGGCTTTTAGAAAAGAGGTCTAATGCTAAGATAAAATTAAACTTGTTCTAGTACACTAAGTATACATAGGCAATTTGGGTAAAACTAAACCCCCTCATTTTTTAAGTGAAAAGATTGGTACATTATAAATGGATCTCTGAGACTAAACTTTCCATCTATTAAAAGACCATATAAGAAATGAATCCAACTGTAATTTTGAAAGGCTCTGTAAAAGATGATCTGCAAGGCTGACATTCTACCAGGAAAAATATTAAGAAAATACTGCAACTAACAGAGGACAATCTGGAATTGGGAACACTTTTTTGATTTTGGTAAAGGTGCATCAAGGGAGATTGCATGTGGAAGTTACAGTGCATTGAGGTTTTCAAAAGCTGCACCAAAAAGTGATTCATTATTGGGAGCAGCAAAGGCTGGAGCAGTCTCACAGGAACTGGTGGGCAGAGCCAGATTCTGCTTTTAGCAGGGTTTAATGACACTCCCAGACAAGGCAAGTGATGGACCAGGTACAGAGTCCATCCAAGGTGTCCATCCAGGTACAGAGTCCATCCAGGAGAGAAGACAGAGCCAGAAACAAGGCTCTAATATACATCCAACAGACCTTACAGGAGACAAGCTGACTACAGCCAAAGTCTGATGCCTGTAATTTATTTTTCTTAACAAATGGCTTTTTTCAGTCTGAGAAGCTTCATAAAGATTTTTTTATTTAACATGCATAATTCTGGAGCTATTTCTCCAGGTGAGGACTTAACTTCAAGTAACATGCCCAGCAGGATTATTTTCTACATCTTTTCTCTGTACTGACTTCTTAAGTCAAACTGAGGCTGTTCCAAGGAAGTGTACACCCTCAGAAATCTCATTTAAGCACTCTGAAAAGGTAGGTTTCCTTAAGAGTTCTTTTCTGGACAAATTTATAAGGGTAATGTCTCTTGATAGAGCCCTCTAAGGTCTTCAGCACTACTGCATTTATGATTTACCATGGTTCCTTTGGAGGTACTGTGTCATCACAGAACCCTAAGATCCATCCAGCAAAATGCTTATAGATGCCAAAACAGAATAAAAGCAGAAAACTGCCTCAAGGAAAGAGATACGGGAAAAGAAGATGAGGCAGTCTGAAAAATAAAACGCTGGGTACACAAGGCTTGCTGGAACTGCAAAGATCAGCAACAGGTATGACAGGTAGATTCAGCAAAGCAATCTGCAAACAGAGGCCTTGTGACTAATTTCATACAAATAAAAGTTGACTATAAAAGAACCATTCTCCAGTTGCTTTCCGCAGAAGTGTGTCCCTTATTCTGACTTTTCTACCCCTGATTTCAATGACCCCTGTGTAGAAGATTGAGTTGATAGCTCTTGCCTTGTTTTAGTTGCAGTCAACAGTCACAATGCTGTGGTTGACCACCATCTGTTTACCCAGCAGGCACAGCAAAGCAAGCTTCTGTTCTTTCTGGAGTCTATGAAAACTGCAGAGAAGAGCTTGGTGTTTGTAGGTCATAGTGCATTTGTGTTGTTAGAAACTGGAAATTGCTAGCACACCACCAAACACGTTGGCCTATTCTGCTGCTGAGAAAAGAGCAATGACAGCACTTTTCTTTCTTAAAACAAAATGTAAATAATTATTCAGTGAGATGCAGTAAGACTGTAGTAAACAGCAGAGATGAGACATATTATTTATGAAGCACAATGGAACTTTTCTGAAGAAGATATAGTAGTGTTTACCCGCTCTCTAATACACTGCTGTTTTTTCTTTAGCTTACTCACTGCCAGAGGAGTTTATCTTCTGTTTTAAGGATAACAGTTACTTTGGTGGTTTGGCAGGGGATCTAAATGTCAAGGATGGAAATCCTGACTTTCTTAAAGTTTCAGGAGAGCAAATGTTTTATTCTATTATGTGCTGGAGATAAAATAAAAGGTCTGTGGAAAATTCAGGTCACAAGAAGAAGCAAGTTTTTTCCAAATCTAGGGGACAGTTGTATTACAGTCTTTGATTCCTGTTTCTTTCTCTCCACACTGAAACTTGAAAATTTATGAATGATGTATCTAATATCTATGCCCACACTTAATTGCAAATGACTCTCATTTTCCAACCATCCTGTTCTGCATGACTCCAGCTGTTACAAGGTAATAAATTAGTATCTGGGTTTTTTTTTAGACAGTCTTTGGCATCAGCATCTCTCCTCCTCCTACGTCATTCTGTTTTCTTTCCCTAGTGTAGGCATCCTTAGACAGTTTTCCATACTCCTTGATGCACTCCAGAAAACAGAGCTTACTTCATAGTAAATTAAACTGAACTTGCTTTGTGAAATAGGTGCTACAAAATATTTTAACATCAAAATACAAGGGCACACACGCTTAAAATTCTGGCAGATTAATGATAAACAATACACTGTTGAAATGCAACCTGGAAAGTTACAACAGTTTCCAAAGTACCAAAAAGAATGACTGATACCCCCACTGGAGTTTGATCAGGCTACCTTAGGGATGACATGCAATAACATGTACTTAGCTATTACAGAGAAACACTTTTTTTTTTCTCAAGTACCCACCCTATGCTAATAATTCTGAAAATATTGTCTTCTGTGTAAAATCCAGATTATATTTTCCTCCAGCTAAAGAGCAATAGCAATAGTAATTTCATAAAAGAATCTGCCATACAGGATGTTGTCTGGCTGGAAAGGCAGAAAATCTTTGAAGTACAGTGTTCTCATGGTGAATACACAAGCAAACAGCAAACGACATTACAGCAAACAACTTCTGCCTCTGTTAAGCAGACCTGCCTTGCTTCCTACAGTGCCAGCCAGTTGACCTGCATCTCCATTTTTTATACCCACCTCTAACCTCTAATCTCTGGCATAGGTACCTCTTCTTGGAAATTCCATAACCCTCTTAGCGTGGTCTCCTTCTGTAACCTCCTATCTCACCTGCTAGCATGAACTCCTCCCTCCAGACAGTTTATCTTCCTTGGAACACAACAGGAGTTGCATTCTCATCTGTTCTAAAAATCACACCAAATTACAGACTTAATTACATTACTTTGAATTACAATAATGTTAATTAATTGTTAATTCTTATTCCAAATAATCAGCTGGAACGGTACCGGGGAAAATCCAATGTATGGTCTTTTATAGCTATTCATTTGCCTTGGTGTTTAAGATCAAAGGCATTGGTTTGATTATGTTCTTGGTTTAAGACAACAAAGCTGGTGTGCTGTAATCACCACCAACATGTACATGCATCTCTTGCTTTTTTCCCCTACTGTTTTCCTGCTGTAGTGTCAGCCTACTATTCACTAAAGAAATGTTTTAGTGTGTACATGTAAGGTATTTAGAAGATGTCTACCTCATTATTCTTTGGTTTTGGAAAGTGATGTATACTGGAAAAGGTCTGTATACTTATAGTAGATTTTTTGGTTTTGTTTATATCTAGGTTGAGGGCTTTTTCATTTAAAAAAATCAAAGAATGCCTACAGAAGAAATAGCTGTATTTCATATTAATTTACTATGTAACACACTTATACTGAGAAGTGCTATTTAATTCTAATTTATATTTTTACTCTAAATACTCAATAAAGAAGTCCAATTGTCCTGTTGGCTGGATGTGTTCAATATGAAAACAGAGCACACTTCTAATTTATTGGTTCCACGCACCTTACCCAGTTTTAGTAGCAGTTATGTATTTTTCAGTTCCCGATTTTCAAAAATTTCTGTATCTTCTTTACATGCCTCACTAAATCACTTGGTAAGCACGTGGTTAGCAGGCAGTCCTTGGAAATCTGGAGTGGTACTATGTTTGAAGTTTGGAGTTTCCTGGGCACCTAAACTTAAAACTCAACAGTCATCTGTATACATCTAGTTTTGTGCCAGGACTTACCAGACAGAACTTTCCCCCTCTTTGCTTCATGATCCAAATCTCCAAATTATAGATAACAGTAGCTGATGCTGAAGATTGGATCAGTTTCAATCAAAAGTAAAGACTAAACTCTTTCTTTCTCTTTCTATTTCACTGAAGTTCAGTTCACTGCTATATATGATCTGAAACCTACCAGAAAGATAATAAAATCAAGTTGTTCTCCAGCAAATGCTTTGTTTCACAGTTTGAGAGTAGCTTGCAAGATGATTTCTTGCCTTTTGCAGTGAAAGTACAAAGGTCCTGTCAAAAAAACAAACATTCATTAAAAAAAAAAAAAAATCATTCAAGTTCATTCTTTAGGGAAACAAGAGACAGCATGTCAAAAACCTAACAGTGGTTTCTCTCCATGCTTACCTGTGATGTTTGTTTAAATGCAAGCTTCAGTGTTATTTTAGACACCTCTGGATATCCCACCTAATCTCTAGCTGCCACTTCTGAAGAGAAGCTATTGCCCTTTATTCTTTTAGGTTTTTTTTTTTTTTTTTTTTTTTTTTTTTAAACCCAGATGTAAATTCCAACATGGGACTTCAGGGGTAAAAAAAATAAAACCGTAAAAGAAAATTATAAACCATGTTGGTTTATAATTCAACAATGTTGTGTTTGATACATCTCTCAGTGAACAGACTCTAATACAGTGATTTGGCAACAGTCACAGGTACTCTGCTCTAAAATGTAAAACCTATTATGTTATTAATGAGTCCTGGTTTAGTGAATATTGAAGAATTAAACCAGTTTACAGATGGACAAAGAAATTCTTTTGAAGGAGTGGTAAATCCTGCTGGATTACAAGAACAGTTTACAAAGGAGGAAATAAAGTAATCTTAATACTTCCTCTTGCTTCACAGACTTTCAGTAGTTAGCTCAAAACAAACCATTCAAAGAGTTTTTTCTGGCTAGGCAAATGACTACAACAGTCACACACATGTATACAGGAAATAATAATGGATTTTTACTTATAGCTGCTGCTTTACTACTGTTGCTGATAAAAAAGGGAAGATAAATATCAACCAGTTTCTGTCAGAGTACTGGTAAGCAGAGAAGATAGCTTCAAGGAGAAACAGCACCAGCAAGGATTATTCAAAACCAGTGGGAACATGACCTAACAACTGAGAAAGGATAGCAACCCGAGCTCAAAGAAAAGGAGGTAGCAGGGCTGTGGGGTTTTTTGACTTATGTATAAGATTCACAAACCGGCTCAGTTCTCAAGACTTGCATCCAGCAAACATGAACCAAGTGCCTCTAGATCATCTCAATCACAGTCAGAATAAGCTCAACGCCAGGAATACCCAGCCTTCACATTCATGATGGTGGAGAAATTGTTATAATTTAAGATATAGTACAGGGACAGTGCTGAAATCATCACAAGGAAAATATAAATCTGATCACCTGGTAAAATTTCTCTCACCTTTAATCTCTAGAATCTTTATATAATGTCCCCAAGTAGCTGAACTAGATCATAGAGTTGCTTAGGTTGGAAAAGATCCTTAAGATCATGAAGTCCAACTGTACACCAACCACTGCCAAGTACAGCAATAAACCATGTCCCTAAGTGCCACATCTACATGTCTTTTAATACCTGGTGATTCAAACACTGCCCTGGGCAGCTTGTCCTGTTGCTTGACAGCATGGATGTAACTCCATTCATCACCACTCTCTGGGCCCAGCCATCCAACCAACTTTTTACTCAGCAAACACCCATCCAAGCCACGGACTATCAGTTTCTTCATGAGAATGCTGTAGGAAACAATGTCAAAGGTTTTACTGAAGTGCATGTAGACAATATCCACAGCTTTTCCCTCATCCACTAAGCTGGTTGCCTTTTCACAAAAGGAGATCAGGTCAGTCAAGCAGGACCTGCCTTTCACAAACACAATGCTGGCCGGGCCTGATCCCCTGGTTGTCTTGCATGTGCCACGTGATCCCAGTCAGGATGAGCTGCTCCACAACCTTCCTCAGCATCGAGGTCAGGCAGACAGGCCTGTAGTTCACTGAATCCTCCTTCCAGCCTTTCTTGTAGATGGGTAACACTTTTGCTCACTTCCAGTCAACTGGGACCTCCCCTGTGATCTGGGACTGCTGGTAATTTTTTGAAAGATGCTTCAGCTTTCTGCTGTGTAGTCAGTTGTTTTCTTTGTCCTCTCACAATTTGATGACTTGAAAGACATGAGACTGAGCGCCAGGAGACCTCAGACACGTGAACACAAAGGACTGTTTCACTGACATTTCACAGTATCACTGGAAGCCAAAGGTAGCTTTTTAAGATGTACTTAGAGCTGCTATCCTAATCTTTTCAGTTTCTCTCTGTGGCCAGAGAGAAACTTCTGTGGACAGCCTGAGCACTATTTTAATTTAAGACTATTTTCTGTATTCTGTATTTTCTATTTTCATTTCAGAACTCAGTATTCTATTTGCATCTTAGCAAGAAAACAGTTACTAAGTAAAGGATAGACAGAAATTCATAAAAATTTTAACTCTTTCTGAGAAAGTTTATTCCTCACAGGCTTCAAAAAAAGTTGAAGTTTACTTTCAAGTCCAAATATGCTTTCACTGTAAAACAGTCTGTTTGTATAAGGATGTCAGAGATAACTTAAGTTCCTAGCAACTCATGATGAGGTGAGTCAAGGCTTTCTGGGATTGTCGGAAAAACTGATTAAGCAGTGCCAGACAAGAAATTCTTCAAATTATTTAAACAACTGACACATAAATAATCTCTTATTTTAAAAGTTGTCGTCAGTACTAAAATAATCTTTATGCATACACTTTATTATTTTTATAAATCTACATCTAAAACAAAACTTGTGCAACTGAATATCTTTGAAACGTTCATAGGAATTCTCATGAAAACATTTTTACATATAGATATAATCCACAATTTTGTGAGAACATCAGTGTATTTATAAATCTTGTGGTAATTTAGGCCACTAATTTTTTCAGGACACTGAAACTAATTTTAAGTGGAAAAAAAAAAGGAAAATTGAGTAAAAGAAAATTACTTGTTGTTCTCACTTGGTTTAGAGCCTACAAAAAGGCCCTCTTTACATTTCCTACCATTGGTGACATGGGCACCTACTCCTGAAAACTTACCTAGCAGTGGCCTACCTCTTGCAAATGAAATTGCAATCTATAATTGTTTAATATGCTCTTCACTTATGAAACTCCAGCCAAGTATTCTAAAAGACCACAAAAATAATGGCAAACCACATTAAAACATTTATTTTTAGTACCACAAAAACTTCAGAAGAAACCTCTATTACTTCCAGAGTCAAAAGAACACATTGTAGAGTTTTTAATTAGAACTTGTGGTTGCTATGGGAAAAAAATTGTCACTTAACAATACAAACTCACATTTTTCTGTGTTTAATTAATCTGAAAACTGAAAAAACCCCAAAACAAACAGTCCCCATCCCCACAGTCTTTAAGTATGCAAGAATCTAGGGTTCTTTTGTCACTGAGTTCTCAACAGAGTTACTGTTTTCATGTCCTAATCTCTCTTGCTTTCTGTCACTAGTTAGACAAACTGATGTCTCAGTGGAGCAAGCATTATGGCTACTCAGTAGGGGGTTTTGTTTTTCTGGTTGGATTTTTGTCTTGTTTGTTGTTGTTGTTTTAAAGATGGCATTTCCTGTGGCACTGATGTCTGTCTAGTTAATTCTGAAATGGAAAGTAAATTGGCAATTACCATCTATGACTAGTTTGATATAAATGGTATACACACACCCACACTATCGAGCTGGATATAGTGCACATCCACAAGTGGACAATCACCGCATAAAACAGCTTTAAAATTAAACTAGACTCAGACTGAGGAAAGTGCAGAGAAAAAGAATGGCTTAACCTATGCCTAAATCAGTCCTAATACTATATATTTTCTAGAATATCCCTTTCTGGACTGTTAGACTTATCAACAAGTTTAGTAAAGTACTCTGCAACAATTGCATCTTTTACTTGCTTAATTGATTTTTTATTACTTAACAAA